TAATTTCCAAAATGGAAAACCACAGTGAACGTCTAACTCTCCCCAACTTTTCTATCGGCGTGGACTTTTAGCTCCAAAAGTCAAAATAGAGAAGAAACAATGGACACGGACTCAATTGTCAATGCTTTCTTGATCTTTTACATTATGTTATACAAGAACTGGTTCATGTTTTACGTGCGCCCATCGAGTTATTGATAAACGCACAGAAATAAGTACCAAATAAGTATATTGGTAAGGCCTGTTCAGCTTGAGAAAAGCACTCAAAAAGCTACTCTCCTCTACAGCATGCTCTCCAAACTCCTGGGTATCTCCATACCTACAAGGACGCACGCTTCGTCCTACGTTTAATACGTACACTATCAGCAGGACACTGCCTGTGCTTAGGCCTGAACCACCCTCATCGCACACAAATTTAGAACGAAACGTTGTCTTCTGCAAATTGATGAAAAGAGAACTGGTGTAAGCTGCGGAAATTTCGTAAACCACTTGGACGTTACCAAAGGTCTTGAGTTCCTGCTTAGAATGCTACATCTTAATTACTTACTCCTCCGTGAACCTCACGAACATCTTGTTTCATTTCCACCGAGAGAAGTAGTTTCATAAATCATGCAAGGGCTGTTAGTAGGCTGTTAGTAGGCTGATGAATTTCTTCCCCGTTCCCAAATAAAATTTTTAAACAACTAAGGCAATGTGCTTCCCTACACCGCTTCCTTGATTTGACACATTTTGGTCCCTCCCCCCAAAAAGTTATATTAGTTAACAAATAAAGAAGCATAAAGTGAAAACACGACGGGCGTTTGAGAACAAGAGGGAAATGTAGAAAACACGAGCCGCAGGCAAGTGTTTTCTACATTTCTCGAGTGTTCTCAAATGTCCGGAGTGTTTTATCACAGTGTAATACACGGATTAGGTTTCTTCATTTGCTTTATGATATAGAGGTAATGTGGCGAAAAACAATAGAACACGCTTTTTCTATGTTTTATACTCTGATAAAACATCGGTTTTTGACCAATTAGAGGGTCCTATCTATATTACAATAAGTAATACTAAGCAACATTCAGGTCTATTTAGGCATTTATTGCATTATTTCATGGTGAAAGAGACCCATAGAAGATACACATACACAATGCGAACCTACGCGCATTGCTTTAACACCACTTACATACTGCGACAGTTGTCCAGTACCTTGCACCTCAATAAACGGATCAGGCTTCCCAGGATTTTGGTCCTTGTCGCAAATCAACTTAACTACTGCTGTTCTATAAAACAACAAAAGCCATATAAGATTGCTGTAGACCTTTCCTGCATTCAGCTTCAATACATAAGAACAATAGCAAGTTTAGGGTGGACATTTTAATTAATTTCTTGCATTTTTGTCCACCCTGACCTCCACCAGTGGTGACAATGGTTGATGGAATGTGAGAGGGGCCGTCTCTTGTAAATTGTAAATGACACTGACTGTTTGTCTGTAACTCCCACTGCCACTGACAATACCACTGTCACCAAAACCTTCCATGGGGAGGGCATAGAAATTTCCTCTAGAAACATATTTTACAGCCATACAAGCACCTTGTTATTAAAGGGGTGGCAGATGCAGCAGCATTATGGGTAGCAAGTTGGGCTATTGGTCTGGATTTAATTCCAGCTGGCCAGGGAAATGTTTGCCTTATTCTTGTGCATTAGGCTCTTTACTCTCGTGATGCCTCTTGCTCCACTCAGGAGTACTGACTTTACAATTGGATACCAGCAAAATTTTAGACAGGTATGTAAAGTCTGCATACAAGCCAAGTGGCCCATCAAGCCGGAGTTTATCGCTCGCGGTTTATGTAGCATGAACCGATGGGATGCTAGTCCATTGCAGGGATACCTCATGCATTAAATTTGCCAGAAACCATTTATACAACCGAGCGAAGAGAGGCAGTGTGAGAGTGAAGTGTCTTGCACAAGAACGCAACACAATGTCCCCGGCCAGGGCTGGAATCCCCACTGCTTGATCTGGAGTCAAGCGCACTAACTGTGAGGCCACCGTGCCTCCACATAGCCTGTCAGGGCAGCAGGACAGCCTGACAAATAATGAGGAAGAAGAGATGGGGGAAACCTGAGGACGCACATATTCCCACACTTCGCACCAGCTACACATAAATGTATTTACTTTGAGTTCTGATTGGTCCACTGTAGTCTATGCTCTTTGTGGGTGTAGCAGCATAATTAACTGTTAGTATCTCCTAGGCAACGTCAAAGAGCCATGTGGCTCCTCCCATCCTTAGGACTGAAAAGGATGTCATTGAGGCAGTTTTTGCTTCTGAGTGCCAAAAGTAATTCACACTTGCTTTGGTTTTGCATAAATGGGATTTGTGATTGGTTTCTAAAACAGGCACCACTCTCTTGGCCAATCAGAAGTAAAGCCAAAACCAATTGTGACTCACTCGCACATTTTCCCACACTTCGCACCAGCTACATGTACACACAATCATATTTACTTTGAGTCTTGACTGGTTCACTGGATTGTCTGTGCTCTTTGTGGTTGGCCAGAGAGATCACTTTGGTTTTGGATAAAATTTACTACTGCACGCATAATTGAAAACCACTCTTATTGTATCTAGTTATAAATCAAGCATTAGTGTTTGTCAAGTAAAGCTCTGCATTTTCTATTCCAGTAGCAAGCCACAGTTCATGTTCACAGTAAGAATTATTATGGACTTTCACTGTACCTGGTGTAGCCACTAAATGTGACAGGCTTGTAGGTCAAAGTAATAGAACCATCAGTTTCTTCATTGAAGGTACTTGCTTCTTTTGCAACTGGATAAGTAGCAGCACCATCCTTTTGACATAGCTATTGTATGCAAATCAAAAGAAAAGAACATACACATAACTGTGGATGAGCAAAAAATAGAAAGTGCAAATGATTATATTTTAGTTTATACATGTAGTTCACATCCAAGATACATCACATCCAAGGCAGTGATGAACCTTATCAGATGAGGAAAAAAAAAGTAATTTGGGAAGTGTCCACTTAAAACTAGATTAACTTTATGCCAGGATGGACGATGCAGAGTCCATTTACAACTTATTTTGTTGCTGATCTTCAATACGGCTGTAAAAAAAGGTTAAACAAGAGACTAAAAAAGCAACCACAACAAGTTCCCTCAAATGAGATGAGCTTGTAGGCACTTCCTACCCAAACACTACTTTAATTGGTCCTTCCCACTACGCTGGCAAACTGACAAATTACATGTAATGATAGAATTACTGATTCACATTCTCAACTGACATACATAAGATAATTTTGTTTATTTATCTTGTCCAGTGCCGTTTCTGATTTCAAGGTGGAGCACAGGACAGTTAGAACTATTGCACATTACTAATTCACAATCAAAGTGAAGGCATAATCATGAGTGGAGTCCCGTTAATTAAGTTATTTTCCTTTACGTCACAGTGTCCCCTCAGTCAGGACCTCCCTGTTCACTCGCACTCATGATTTTGTCATGTTGATGTAGATGTTATTACATGAACATTTATCCAAGTAATTAGTTTATAAAGTTTGTCCAGGGGTTCCATTAACTAAAAGGTTTTTCGGCAGGAAGGCCATTAGTTCATTTAAAAAGGCATGAAAAAGGTTTTTTTAAGCGAACAGGTCTTTATGGGAAATTTTCAAGAGATCAATGGGCAAACCAGACTGGCGTAACTTTTCTCACAGCTGGCCATTTTCTTTAGTGACTAGCTCTTAATTGCCTGTTGGTACGATCACAAATAGTCAAGCATCAATGTTTATAGTATGCATCACACCACAAAAAAAGTCAGAGGGGGACATCATTTTTCACATTCCTTATAAAAGTAAATAAATCACTCTTGTATAAGTGGCAATGAAAGTGTTTAGCACTGTTGCTAATTAGGGCCACTGAAATAAGTATTGAACAGAAATTTCTTAAAGTTCCCAACTATGGCTGACCTCACTAGTTGGCTGATAGTGTACAACTGAATTATGGAGGAGTTAAATTTGGCACCACCAAGCGCAAATCCATCTTGTGGTGGGAAGGTTAAGAATTTGAACTCTGGGACTGGATTACAAACGCAGCGCCTAAATAATCACCAGGCCATGCAGTTATCATTTTTATTATACACTGAACTCACTATCTCTTTTCTGATTGGCTGAAAGCGTACAGTGAATTTTCGAAACCAGCACCTGTGACATCATCTAGCTGCTGACCGCAAGTGCATGATTTCTAAGGGTAATCATGTCAAGTTTGCACGGTTTGTGTTCCTTGTGGTCAGTGAAGAAGCAAAAACATGACTTCCATTTTTTTTTCTCTTCAGTGTATAATAAAACAATTATTAGATTTGGTTTTTGTGATATCTAGAATAATTAAGGTCTTGGTAAGGGTTATCAGTCTCAGCCTTTGGCTTCCGCTGATAACCCCTACCTCAACCTTGATTATTCTGGATATCACAAAAACCTCATCCAATAATTGTTTACCCGACATGAAGCATTCAACCTGCATTCAACTGTTTGCACAGTCAGTTGAATGCAGGTATTCCACTGGGAACCATCTCAAACATTACTCACCAAAACATCATCACATTTATCATCAGAAAATTGTGTGCAAGGATTCCAGCTCAAGGTATAAGTTCGGCTAGGTTGACCCTGTTTGCTTCCCTTTATGTCTGGAAATCTTAAAGAATGAGAAAGTAATACCGTCATGATCATCTTGAAGGGTTCAATGATTATCAGGGCTGTCAATAAGGGTCATAATTTGTCACACCTGTCACAGCTGAGTAAGTTTGATGGGCCCTTGATGTAACAGGTGAACTTGCCTGTTGATAATGACAGCCCTGACTGTTATTTTGATCTAAAATTCTTCTCATCTTCCCAGCATGCACTGATCTTCAACACTTGAAGGATCTTCGAGGAGCTTGCAAAGCTTCTTTGCAAGAATCTTCGCTAAGACCTTCATTTTAGAGTTAGCAACGCACTTCGTATGGATTGGAATCGTAGGATTTCAAAGCAAAATGTAAGCTTGAAGTTGTAATATGTAAGCTTAAGTCTATGATTTAGTGTCATACAGTGAAACGGTGAGTGATTAAAACTAAATTTTATTACCAAAATATTCTTTCAATATTGCAAAAGAACTGCCTTCGTCGCTTCTCACTTCTGAACAAGAACTCTTAATTTTCAAACAACAGTCTTAATAAGCTTATCTCTTCAACACATTCAACAAAGTCAACATAAGTTTACTCACTTGGGGCCCGCAGTTCCACCGTCCACTGGCTTCAAGCTCATTATTTTGCCATTGCTCTTTCGACACTCGCAGTCATTTATCTTCGTACAAGAAGCAGCAGTCGTTTCTTCAATTGCAACTACATGTACAAACAGGAACAAATATAAATAAAGTAAACGCTCGCTAGTTGACATTTCGCAAAGAAACTAAACAGGAACTAAAGCGAAAACCGTGATAGCCTGGGACGGTACATGTTCCAACCTGTCTAAGGGGATTGGGGAGAGCGGCCTGGGAGGGGAACATCTAACCCAGACTTTGTTTTGTTTTGTTTTTTTGTTTTTGTTTTTTCACCGCAAGGGAAAGGAGAAAGAACGCCTGATACAATTACTTCTAGTCTACGAGCAGGCTCACCTTCGAGTCACGCGCGTAAGCGGCGAAGAGCAAAGCGATCCAGCGGCAAGGAGTCTGGTGATGAGCTCGCGGCTTCGCCGCTCGATTTCGCGCTCGCGGCTATGCCGCGCGCCGCGCGCGCTTGTGCTCCAACGTGAGCCTGCTCGCAAGCTAATTCAAGAGTCGTCTGCCTGTAGTCCGGATATCTGACAGCCGCTGCAATTCCAAACAACCGCGGAGATAAACGTACTTGTAAATAGCGAATTTTCAGCTCGGAGGCCGTGATCTTGAGCGGCTATAAGTTCGTCTCTTCAAGATTTTATTCACAAGTCCTGAAAGGAAGAGCAGTCGGAATGCATCCGGAAGATCATCTACATCAAAGAAGAAGTTTTAGCCATGATTTCAATGCGAATTGGTATCAATTCTGAAAGTGTCAAAAACATCTGCAGTTGACCTGTAATTGTGGGGAGTCGCCTGGAATATATCTGTTGTAATGTTTATTCTCGCACTACTCAAACTTTTGACCACATCCGATAAAAAATGATTCTGATGTTCTACTGATTTTTTCAATGATGTTTTTGTTTCTTGACGGAAACAGAGACATATCAACTTGCTATTCCCCCATTCTCGATCCCAGAGGCCGCGCTCCTTTTGTTCAGCAGCAAGAATCGCGACCTCTGGACTGGTCCAACACCGGAAGTCCGCGAGTCACAGGCTTTCCATCAAATCTGACAAATCTGATTGGCTGAGAATACGAAACGAAAACTCTGCGCATGCTCAGGAAATCGGGCCAGAGGTCGCGATTCCTGGTGCTGACCCAAAAGAGCGCCCACTCTGGGAACGAGAATGCTAATTCCCTTGTCTGAAAAGATGTTGCGCTCTTTGGCTTTCGCGCTTCCAACCGGCCGCATTAATTTTCGGTAAAATCTGATTGGCTCACATTTATAGCAGACACAAGATACCGTCGTTGTTGACAGGGAAGCATCAGGCGTTCTTTTTTCCCTTTACCCGTTCTCCTAGAAAAAAAAAATGTCTCAGTAAATACACGAATATGATCGGCTTTTTCTTCGAGGGCAAATATGCTAGTATTACGAACATCAAGTTTCCAAGGGGCAACTAGCAGAGCGATTGTTCCGAGACATATCTACACTCTATTGTCTTTATTGTTCAGCACTAAATTTTCCTCCCGGTGCGCCAGTTCAAAAGTAAAATTAAATTATTTTCAACTTTTTTCAGATGAAAGGAGTGAAAGCCATATTTAAAATTTGAAAAACAAAACAGACAACATTACAGTTTCTCCCACCCGCTGAATCCTGATTGGACAATTCAAATTTCAGACGAACCGGCCGTAATGCAAGGTCAATAAATTGTCAAGTAAAAATAAAAAAAATTCTTGCAAATATGGCGAATTGCCGCTGAACGCGAAACCTTTACAAGGAACGTTGGCTAAGTGCAACCTCGTTCTCAGTCTTTGTCCCGTTCCCCTCCCCTCGTAGCTTTCTCGCTCTAGGAAACGGAAGAAGAACCACCCTGGGAAACTCGTATAGAGAAAGCCCCCGGAGGCTCCTCTGTTAAAAGGGCGGGGATGCTCTTCGGAAAATTTTTAAGACAAAGCGAGCTAGACACCCGCATAAGGCAAATTTGGTTGTGGCTAAAGCTCTCGTTGACCCCCTAAAGGGTACTATTCTAAACAAACACATACAAATAAGCACCTAAGTCCAACACGGTCGAGACCATGGGCATTCTAGCCTCGGCTTCCAGGTGTTGAGTTAGTTGGGGCGCAGCGCGTAAAACTATCTGAACGCCCGAAAGAGGTTAACATGGAAGTCAGATTCCGCCGGAATGTAGCTTGAATTTCAGCCGCCTCCTCCGCTGGCTAAGTCACTCGGGGACAGAGACGTCGTCTTTCTCCCCAAGTAGCCTGCGAGTAGGCTCACGTTGGAGCACAAGGGCGCGCGGAGTAGCCGTGAGGGCGAAATCGAGCGGCGGAGCCGCGAGACGAGAACTTTCTTAGCGCCTCTTCACCAGACTCCTTTCCGCCGGATCGCTTTGCTCTTCAATTCGCCTACAAAAAGCCTCAAAGGGGAGTCTACTCGCAGGCTATCCCCGAGTGACTTAGCGAGCGGAGGAGGCGGAATAGGACTTTTGCCACTTTCATTTTCATATCTAGCAAACCACCAGGCCAGTGAATGATTAAAAGGAAATTACGCACTCATAATGTGATATGTGGGTTATTGACCAATCGTAACGACAAGATGGCTGGATATTCAATATAAGACCTTTTCTTTGCACGTTACCAGCCGAGACACATGATATAGGATCTCGGCCAAAAAGGTTGTTCAATAAAAGACATATTACATGGCATACAGAGATATCATTTTCTTGTCTTGACTTCCGGTGGTGCGGATCGACTCCGTACAAATTGAGTCGCATCGTCAAGTACCTCAGAAGAATCGACTCGGTTTGGGTGTATTGGTACCTGAACGTATTGGACATGGATGGATGTATCAATGGAGTATTGGCCGATAATCGACAGATGTCGGTTGATAGTGTAAGCTGATCGACACTACCATCAATATATTATCCTAAAATTGCGTTATCCAGTTCTCGAGTAGCATTTGTTTAGTGCATCATTCAAATCAGTGTTGAATCCATAGCGCCTAAACTAAACCTTTGACTTTTGTAATACGATAGCTTTACCACAATACCTAGACATTCCAAAAGTCCTTTCCGCTGGATGATAAGCGAAGGTTTAGGCAAAGCTTGAATTACGGTAAGTATACACAATACCAAGCCAACTCATGCCCCAGAGTCTCTATAGAACTATTCACCGCTCTCATTGAAAGAGATAACCGACCGAGTATTCTGTAGTATGAAATCCTCAATGGAAACTTTGGAAAACGAACCACGGGCAGTTTCTACTAATTCTAAGAGCGACCAACTGTGTACTATACACAATATGAAAGAAAGTCAATAGTCAAGGCACTCGAAAAATTTACATTTTTCGAAAGAGACTCACCATTTAATTCAGTCAAAGTGTTAGTCCTCCAAGTTTGTCAGCCTTTAATAATTGCACGAGCCATCTGTGTTGATCTGGACAACAGTCTCCCGTTGTCTTTGTCATCCTATTTTCTTGCTGTTCAGCAATAGCAATGCCGTGTTGTTCTTCAGAGACTTCACTCTTCGAAAGTCATAACTAATTGGACATGGCTTCTATGCCAGTTTCTTGCCATATACCTCAGCCACAGGCTGCGACAGCTTTTGGGTACTAATCACTACGTACGTGATTGCAAGCGCTCGATAATATGATAATGAAGCAAAACAATTGCATAGAGGTCAAATTATAACTGATTAACTATATTAATGTCCTATTTGACCTTTAGTGAAAAATCGTTTCTATCACCAGTCGCGCCATACATTTAAGAGAACCTCTGGGTTGGAGCCGTCTATAGGCTTAGGAAGCCTTTCAGTGTCAGCTCAGTAACAATATAAACTGTGGTTACACTAATGGCAGTTTCCCGTATAAAATTTTAGAGTGGGTCTTTCATCTCGTTGCTTTTGTGAAGTAAATAATCGATAAATAAAGGACATAACGCAATCATACAAAGAAAAGAAAGTTGTTTTTATTAATAATTTGAAAAGGGTACTAATCAAATGTTTCTTTAGAAGCTCAGTTTGTGCTTGTGAGTCGCAAAAGCGTTCCATTGCAACTTGATGCACGATCTACCGTCTGATTCGATTTGGGTGCAGCCATTGCATTCTACCTCCCGTTGAAGCGTTCAAGCACCTCAAGTTTCGCAAGGAAGGAAAATTTGAAATTTTTACCATTTCAAAAATAGCTCAAAATCTATCTTGCACATTTTGGTTTGAATCAGTTGCCTGGATACTTGATGAGAGCCAATATTTTTAATTTCCAAGTTATTAAAATTACCAGTGCCCAGGCCTCTCTCAACCACTCGGTCATCGTTTGAACTAGCCTCATGACTGGGCTAGATGGGTCGCAGTGTTTGGACTTAAAGATTAAAAAAAAGCCAGTAACTTGATTTATAGGCTTCGCTGTACTTAACTGGTAACAACAATTGTTTATAGCAGGCAACAGCCCGCGTGTAAAAAACACGAAGTGAAGAAATGACGAATGGTTAGCCGTTACAATTACACTGAATTACAGATTGAGAGCTAACCACTATCGAGTCAGTGATATTTAGGCTAACTTGAGCGTCATTTAGGCCAATGGTAGCGCTATTTAGTCTAACCGTAGGGAAATTTCCACGTGATTTCGCCATTTCGTGCGTACGGTAAATAACAGGCCTAGGTTTGCGTGACCGAACGGCCCACCGGTGTCTGTAATACAATCGCTGAAAGACTTAGGTCAGACCAGCAGGAAAATTCACACGGGTCATCATTTTTCCCAGTTGAGTCATGGGGGAACGTTCCTCACTTGTCCGCAGCAAAAATCGTCGCGATGCAGTGGGTTACTCCACGTTTGATCCTAGTGGTTCAATAGACAGTGGGCTTTCAATTAGCCCAGACGACAGCACTGCAAGGACAGGCGGTGGTGCCTATGTCGCAGCCGTTGAGGACGCCAGGGAGAGAGTATCAATTTCTTGGGAGAACATCCAGGCATTTGTCGACCAGCCAGGTCCATCCTTCTTTAAGAGATTGTGTTTTGGTACCGATGAAAACCAAACCCCGACAAAAAAGCACGTCTTGGTCAATGGTATGTGAATTTTTAGAGTGGTTATCCTTGAGTGTGCCGATTTCTAGCCAAACGTCTATTAAACCGTTACGCAGAGAGGCGCCATTGTTCTTTCAGTGATAAATAACCCGTCCAAACTTTGACAAAAGCTATAGCGATGATTTACTTGAGATTTTGTTTCAAATAACACTAAAAGCAGACACTGACATCCCGATCGTTCATAGTCAGCTTGCGGCGTGATGTAATCACTGCCATTCCTGATTCGCGAGATTAATTCGTCAGCAAAAGAACGCAACAACCGCTTAATTAGTTATAAACACTACATGTCACGGAATGTCCCTTGTAAACATTTGATACTATCACTTTGAATTCTTCTGTAGTGAGTGGAAGCGTGGAAGCTGGAACTTTGTTAGCCGTCATGGGAGCAAGGTGAGAACAGATGCTATATTTTCCCATGCTGCGCGTATTTGATTTAACCTTCATATAAACGGGAAAGCATTGAACTTCCGGTCTTAATTTTTGGTCAACGAAAATCCGGCGAGCATTCACATTCTACACGTCTGAACGCCGCAACTTTTCGGCCCAGTTCCCAGGGGGACCTCTCAATTAAAAAGGATTGGGGTACTCGTCAGAAATTTTGAAAAGAGCCTCTAAAAGGTTGGCCTAAATTTTTTTTTTACCCCCAAGAGATACCAATTCTAAAACAACACATCATTTCCTGTCATATTTTTTCGGCTCAATACCTTAAAGGGCAACCTCGTTCCCAGGGTCTCTCATCTTACCGCCCCGCTCGCTCCAGGGGGCGGTAAGATGAGAGACCCTGGGAACGAGGTTGCTTAAAGGGTACCGCAAAAGCTCCCGGTGTGGAACTTATGACGCTGAACACTTTAGAGGTACCAAAACCGAAGGTACAACGAGCACCCCCGTCATTTTGATATGGGAGTTCCCCCGGGCCCAGTTATTCAAAGAATAGATCTATCCACCAGATNTTAGGAAGTTTAAAGAGGGATTAAAAGAATAAAAAGGGGTTTGGGAAATGTCCTCATTACTATCAAGAGTTGTACAAGCGGCTATAAGGAATTTACTAGGATTTTAAAAAAATAAAAATGGGGATAGGAATTCTGCTTCAAAAAAAGGGGGCCGGGGAGGGCTACATGTTTAAAAACAAGAATTGAGAAGGGAGGTTTAGTTTTTATCTGAAATATTTTTTTCGGGGGGGTTCAGTTTTCAAACACAAAATTTTTGGGAAACCACCGCCCTCCTCTGGGACGTAATAAACCATCGGTGTTCTAATGCAAGAATCGTCCAGTTAGCAAAAACTTAAAAGATAAGTCATCTAGTGACCTACGCAAGAGCCTTCTCGGGCCGCCACTTTATTGTCACACAATTGCAGGGCAAAAGACATCAAGTCTTATGTCTTAGGTCTTAGGTCTTATGTGATCTGATGCAACAAAAAACCTCAGAGGGATAGAATTCTTTTTTTTTTTTTCGGAATATGATGAACTCACATGAAAATCGGCAATATTCAAACTGGTTACTTAGTTCCGTGACCTATTTGATGTTTTCCTTGTGGATTGACAAAAAAGGTCAAGAATAAGCTATAAACATTCCTTTTGCTTATGTAGCTTTATGTAACCTAATGCGTGATTCAAAGGTTCTGGAGGTGACCTGGTTAGTAACATAATCGCTTTTTGAGAGCCTGAATAAGCGCTTTCTGCACGAAACGGAAAGGCTTACACGAGTCCGTTTGCCGTCTTGTCATGGGGGACAATGGCAAGTCGCAATCGCTCCTACACGGAAGAAGAAATAGCAAAGCTCAGGGTTACTCCACATTCGATCCTGGAGGTTCTATAGACAGTGGTCTCTCCTTCTCCTCAGACGACAGGGACGCCGGGACAAACGGCATCTCAGTTATCGACCACGCTAGGGAAAGGGTTTCAATTTCATGGGAGCACATCGATGTACTTGTGGAGCTGCCAGGACCGTCATGTTTGAAGCGGTTGTGTTTCGGATCGGAGGAGAACGCATTGCCCAACACCAAGCAAGTCTTGTTTAATGGTAAGTGACATATTTAGGATAGCTTTGGAACTTGTTTACGGGAGACTCGAAAAACAGAAAATTGCACGCAGGCAGGGTAATGTGTTAAGAAGTCAAATACCTTATTGCAATCGAACTCAAAACACCACTATAATATGAAAAAAAAGTTTCGAATTTCTAAAAATGATCAAGCCCAAACTTCTTCATTGACTTCATTCGAATGTTGAATGAAAAGATGAAGAGAAATTAAAGCATTAAACGCATTTTTTACTAGTAGAAGCATGTCTGCTTGTTGAATGCCAAAAGCATCCAAAATCGAACCGAATGTCCAACGCTAAGTTAGTTACATCCATTTTCAATTCCATTTTCATCGTATTTAAGTGGCTGAGAGCTTTTGTTGAGCTTTTGTTGAGCTGTTGTTCAAAGTATATTACGTGTGTATTGTAGTCACAGAACAATTAAGGTCGTCTTGTATTCACTGGCTGTCTGTCAATGAAATGAAAGCTCGTGAGTCCTATCAAATCATGTGACTCTTAAATTACACACACTCGCATGACGATGCAGATTTTGATTACGGATGATTTGACAGCCCTTGCGTGCACTGTTTTAAACATAACAAGACCGATTATCTCGGAAGATTCGCTAAAAAATGGAAGCGACTCCATCTCAATTTAAACAATACATTGTTACTGTCAAGGAACTATCGGCCCATAGTTACCCCGCGGAAGCAAAGCTTGGAGGGGCAATATGCTAGTTTGAAGAACTTCAGATTTCCAAGGGGCAACTATCAGACCTATAGTTTCGAGACAAAAAACACACTATTGTCTTTATTGTTCACAACTAAATTCTCTTCAGCGCGCCTGTTCAAAAATCATAGTGAATTATTTTCAACTTTTGCTAGATGAAAGGCTTGATGGCCAAATGTAAAATCAGAATGAAGAAAACAGACAAAAACCCACTAAGTACAACAAATTGCGTCTTTCAATTTTTTATTTCTGTAAGCCTGGTTCACGTGTTCACAGAAAAACTTTCAGGGACGAGTACTATCCATCTGGGTATTTTCCTCGGACGGGCACGATTTAAGCCAATAACGATTGGAGATGATTTAGTGGTGAACTACAATCTCCATTACTGTGACCTCTACACAGGGTTATACGTTTATGGCATCGATGAATATGGTTGCAAAGTACGCAATTGAGTAATGTCACTAATGGTTTCAGTGCGTGTATAAATAAACAAGGTCGTTTTCATTGTGTAACCCACCATCTTAACGATTGAGGGATTAAGCGGTTGATTGATTTGCTTTTACTCCATAATTTTATATACTGTATTTTTGTATGATTTTTTTTCTGGCAGTAAGTGGAAAAGTAGAAGCTGGGTCTTTGCTGGCAGTCATGGGCGCCAGGTAGGAAAAATAATGAATTATTCTGATCAAAACTATTTTATCTACACTGCGAAACATCTATAGATCATTCTTGGAGAGTGAAGTTATATTTATCTGGGTCATCTGGGGGACAAACTCCATCCTGTACTCACGGCCATGTCTGAGTGAGCATACATGTACAGGTTTTCAAGGAAGAACGACTAGAACTACACCTGTAATACTATATTAGAATGCGACCTGTTTTTCAGTACCATCGGTCTGTTTTTCAGAACCAAAGACGGATTACATTCAGAGACGGACTCTATGGCGGGACGATTACATAATTAAAGCTAGAATAATCTAGAACCCTGTACAGTAGGGTATTTTACACTTTGGCCCTTGATCACTGAGTTAAGAATATCTATTGAATTTGCTTTACAGTGGAGCTGGCAAAACCACTCTGATGAATGTACTAGCTCATCGTAACATCAGCCAGATGGAAGTCCGTGGAACTGTAGAGGTGAATGATCAGCCAATCGGATTGCAGATTAACACCATGTCTGCTTACATTCAACAGGAGGACCTCTTTATTGGGTCTCTGACAGTTAGGGAACATCTGACTTTTCAGGTTAGTCTAGCGTAAAGCAGATTATTTGCAGTCTGAATGAAGGGAGTGAGGGGCGAGGGTTTTTATGACGAGAGGGGACAAGGACGAAACAAGCGAAAGAGATAAAGAGAGAGATAAAGACACGTCAGATCCTAAGAGAAAAGGCCTGATGTCAGCAGTCAAGGCTTAGAGCTTGATGTACCTGCTACAAGGGACATGCAAAAGGTGCAACAAAAGTCGCATTGCTTTTTTTCCAGGTTAACATATCTTAGACGATGTTAGTATGATATGGAATATTGGAAGAAATATTAAATAACGACGGTTTCCCCTTCGTCTTATCCCCGTGGTCAAGTTAAAAATAATGTAAAATGACAGTAAACGCTTAGTTCATTTATACTGAAAAGCAGTAAATTTCCCTGCACAGTAATTATGTGGGACTGAATTAAGCAACTTGTGTATTTAACCATTGTATAAATTATACCATGAAGTAGTTCAGAAGTAATTGCAATTAAATGTAATGGTCTTATTCCCTCAGTAATTTATGTTTTGACGATTTTAGGCTTTTCTGCGCCTGGAAAAAAAAGTTCCCAAACGGCAGCGACTACAACGCGTCGAGGAAGTGATACTGCAGGTATAATCATACATGAAGTATGCACATTGTCTGGTTGAGGTGAAGGCCCAGAGCTCTGAGTGCGAGCTTCTCTGTGGTTGATGTTTTGTGTTCTTGGGCACGACGCTTCAGTCTCAAAGTGTGTGTGTGGCTCTCTCTCTCTGTTCCCCCGCGAGTGTAATTGGATTCCTGCGAATTGGTACGGCAGGGGCAGGGAATTTTTTTTTTATTTCGATGGGAGGGCTACAAGAAATCTCGTCGGGGGAAGGGAGGGAAGTGTCGGTTGGATAGCCTGAAAAAGAACTGTCATCCAAATCTCTCTCGGCCGAATCGAGTCACCAGGAAAGTGGAATCCAGGGAATAGGCTGATTCACTGCTATTCGTTTTTCTTCCAAAGCTTGGCCTGACAAAGTGCGCTGACACATACATAGGAATACCAGGACGGTTGCGAGGAATCTCGGGAGGAGAAAAGAAGAGACTGTCATTTGCTTCTGAGGTATGTGTTAAAACAGAAAGAACTACAGCCAATCAGAATACAGGGAAGCCGTTGTAAACTGCGAAGGTATTACACCCAGCCTTCCCATCATGCGCTGCTTCTATTGTGATGGCCACTGTATTTTCTATGGCAGGATATGTAATAGTTATGCAACACTTTCTCATTGTATTCCATGGAATATTTCAATTGTCACTTTTATTTTCCTGGTATGCACACAAGCCTTTGATATTCCATGGTATGCTACTCGAAAGTATTGCTTAACTAGAATATATACTGACACTGCCGTTTTGTTATTCATCAGGTCATCACAGATCCTCCATTGCTGTTTGCTGATGAACCAACATCTGGTCTTGATTCATTCATGGCTCAGAGTTTAGTCACAGCACTGCAACAGTTAGCAGCTCAGGGAAGGACCATCATTTGCACCATCCATCAGCCTTCGTCTGAGGTGTACGCCATGTTTGACAGGTATATTAAGAATATCCCTTGGGGTTGCATATTTCACAACGTGATTTTCTGGCTAAGGAAATCTGGGTAGAAAAAACGGCGCCGTGTAACACGTGACGGTATTATTAGTGTGAAACAGTTTAATGATATTATGTGCGACTGTTAGTTCTTTTGGAAGAAGCGTAAGCACAAGGAAGCCAGTTATCTGTTTTCGTTTTTGTTTTTTTGGAATTTTATTGTAATGCATCAGCTGGGGAGAACAATTTATTTCTTACTGCTCGTCGCAAACATTTATTAGTATTATACAAAAGCTAGGCATTTCAAGGAATACGAGAAGAAACTTGCGCCACCATACCCGACACTGAGTTAGGTGGAGCAGCAGTTTCAGATTTTTTCATGATATTTTTTACCTATTGTCTTTTTCCATTATTCGAAACATCGATAAGTAATCTATACACGTTGCTCTTACTAAGGAAATAAAGAAGACAAGTAAACTGTTATACTCTTGCAAAACACGACGGGCATTTCAGAAACCTTGAGAAATGTAGAAAACGTCTATATTTCTCAAGTGTCTCGAATAACCGGAGCGTTTAATATAACTTTGGCTTCTTTATATTTTTTGTGCAAGACAATAAAACGCAGCTTTTCTATTTTTTGTACTCTGATGAACAGAGGGTTTTTCGCCAATGAGAGCGGTCCATATCAGAGGTTCGTGTCGCAAACTTCGAACCGCTCAGGGAACCAATCAGAATTGTGCTATATTCATCGCGGAGTAATTTGCCATATAATAAAAAAAGACAATATACATACAAGTGAATACGTCGCATGTCAAGAAGTCGTGCCAAGCCGAACGTTTTTTTTTTTTTTTTTTTTTTTGTTTCTCAGCATTCTGTTGTTAGCCGAGGGAAGGACAGCGTACATGGGCTCCAGAGCTGACGCCATTCAATATTTTGAGAAGTAAGTTTCTCTTAAAACAATGAAATGTTTCAATATCTACACATAAAAAAGCCAATTTGTCGCAAAATGAGACAATTATTTGCGAACCAATCCCATTTTTACCAATCAAATCCATCGCATGATTTTTGTGTTTGGCTAGTTATTGCCTTCCTAGAATTGCTCTCTCAGGAATTTTAGTCCATGGTTAACCCTGTTAAGCCGTATTTGGGGGGTAAGAAAGAGTAAGAAATGTCCGCGCTGACTTCAAACCTTTTGTGACTTAAACCGTGACGTAAGCTATAGCCACCAAACTCTATGGCCTCTCCTAAAATTTATCACGGAAAATTTTGGTGTATCAATTAATTGGTCACTTAACTTACGTTTCTATGGCAACCGTCTTTTCTAAAGACGTTTCACCAAAATCTATTGCCGGTTCAATTTTGCCCAATTAGACACAATTTGGCTTGACATGCGTGACAAAATACGGTTGTTATGGCAATGTCAAACGACCAGGAGAAACAGTTAACAGATCAAATTTCTGCGAGAGAAGAACGAACGCCTACAGAAAGTTTCCGTATTGAAGAGCACATGGAGGTACCCCCTTAGCTTGTATACCCGACGGTGACAAGATTATTTGCACGTGTAAAGAATTACTCTAATCTTGATGTATTCTCACAGCTTTGGCTACCCTTGCCCCGTCAATTTCAATCCCGCTGACCACTTTGTTCATACATTGGCAATTGTGCCTGGTGACGAGGAAAACTGCAGCAAGAGAGTCCAGGTTAGATCAGAGTAAATACTTGTTGTTTGGCCAATTTTAGTAAAATTCTCATTTAAAAAGAAAAAAAAATATTCGAAAACAAAAACAAAACAAAAAGCGGATCTCCCACTACAGTTTCGGAATTCCCAAATCTCCCATTCAAAAACCCAGGGTAGAATAGACGGGTCTGTAAAATCTTTTTGTCAAAAATTATACCAGCTTTTCGTAACTAATCGAGAGAAGGCAATCGGTGATGCATTTCTTCTAAATATAAGTAGCCGTTAGTTGAGAAATATGTCTTAGTCATATCTATGGTAGAAGTTTGTCAAACAGGGCTGCCTCGTCGGCAAAAACAAATACCCGCAAACAAGTACATTGTGCAGATGAAGGAGAATGAATGAAAAAAAAAATGAAAATTATAAAGTGAGAAAACATATTGTCTTGATGCATCACGGAACTGTTGTAGGCATAACCGCCTTCAAAAGGAATCTGTAGGACCCTGTAGTGCGGGTGCGCTTTAGATTCATTCATGGCACTTTCTCTGGCGACTGTGTACAGTATGCAAGAGATAACAGCGGTCACATGTAATAGTAATTCAAATGTTTTCGTTCAGGATATCTGTGATGCGTACCGAGAAACTGAGTTACAGGCCACGGAGGAGACAGAGCCAGCAGAGCGGCAGGTACACTGAAACGTCACGTCACGCAACGCTCCTGTCCGGCAAGGCGTTACGTGACAATCCACCAGCTGTTTTAAAATTGAAGCCTGCGTGACAGACAGTTTATAACGATAATGACGACTACGTTTACTGTAGACAACTGTAGATCTTCCTTCTTTTCAAATGAAGTTAACCATAGTGGGATTTGGACAGTAAGTGACTCCTCTTTCTCATCGCGTGTCTACTTCTCTTCCCGTAAGTAACGGACAGTATAGACTAAATAAGGGATAGTATAAACTACAGTTCCTTAGTAAGCCTGAGTAAATGTGGCAACTGGCAGTAATGAGTTGACTAGCAAACGATAATGGTGTAATTTATCACAACTTGCATTTATACATGTACCTGTGTATCTTTGCACCTCGTTATTGTGGGTGAAAATAATTATTTATAAGGAGCAAAAACCTTAACGACATCTTTACTCTCTTTGTAGGACTCCTTCAAGGATGAAGTATATACCCGTTCACCGTAAGATTAAATTATCAAAAATGTTTTATAAATATAATAATAATAATAATAATAATAATAATAATACCAAGACCAATACCAATACCAATGATAATGATAATGATAATGATAATGATAATAAATAATAATACAGAATTAAGGGTTTTCACTATAGTCAACGGGTTAAGCTCACGCGCCCCGTCATACTATTTCATGACTGCACATAGCATGTATACGTTTTTACTGCTGTATAATAATAAAGCAAATCATGCGATGGCAATCAAATTTTAACCAGCTATACATATCCTTTTAATATCAGACGTGTTGAATAATGGTGTACTTGTATTCGTTCATATAAATGCTAGCAGTACGTCGTGATTCTTCTCCACGCCCTGTAAGATTTTGTAGATGGAATATTTAATTTAACCGCAAACTTAAAGTCAACTGCGAGCTTGCAGTAAAGAACAAGTTGAACTGAACAAGAAATACTCTAATTTGTTTTTTGTACGCCTTGCTTGTCTATCATTTTTTGAACTAAGTTCGTCGATTTATTGATCTTCTACGATGTTCTAGGTACAAAGCGTCGTGGTGTCAACAGTTCCGTTCAGTCCTTTGGCGTTCATGGCTCACCAACGGTCGAGATGTCACTATTTTCCGAATTAGACTCTACCAGAGTATAGTAAGTGTCATTACTTTAACATTTTGATTTTTCATCATTTGATTTACCTTTACGGTCATCCATGTTTAATACATTACATTCAAATCACACCTTTATGAAGTTTACTCTATTTCTTACTGTGTTGCCTGTTTCTCTAAGTTTATAGGTCTCTTAGCAGGAATAATTTACTTCAAAACTGAGATAAACCAGGCCGGTATCACAAATGTGTCTGGTGCAATTTTCTTCTTGCTGACGTCGATCACGTTCAACAACATCTCATCCGTCATCTTTGTGAGTAACAGCGCTGATCGTTTTAAAACTAAAATTGTTATGACGATAGCGATTCCGAACAAGAGAACATAGGGTAACATGATTTATCTCCCATACAGACCTTATACTGAAGGTACTCCCTCTCAAACCATTTATTATATAAATCCCGGTTACAGAAACCCAAGGAGAAGCTCGGAATAGCCAATCCAACTCCAAAGAGTTCGCTCACGTTGATAACCCATGCGGTTTTAGACACACTTTCATCTTTCAAATGCGCAGAAGGGATGATGCCCATTTCTAAATAAGAAATAGAAAACAAATTCCGTGTTCCATCTTCTTATAGAAACACGAGGGGAAGTCTGCGGTATGGGAGAACTAGAAATGTTGTGGGAACACGAGCCGAAAGACGCGTGTTCTTTCGAGTTCTCCCAACCTTCCACGACTGTTGCTATAATAGAAAAAAGGAGAGCATGTATTCTATTTCTCTTAGAGAATAACGGGACGAAAGAAAAGAAAACAACTTGTTTACTTTGATCGTCAAAATGTAGATTCTCTTCGTGCTAGTTCTGAGTTTCTATCGCGTTTTGGTATAAACCTATTAACAGTCTATCACGAATGCTGTTCTCTGACTGGCCACGCTACTCGCTATCTATTGTGTTGTAGATAGTGAGTAGCGTAGCACTGTGCCTTTGTTACCAAAATGCAGGCCACTCCTTCGCGTTTTCGAGGTGTCTGTGAAGAGGATTTTGATAAAGTTTTGAGCAACTAGTAGATTTATGACGCCCTCGTCAACCATCACGCGATAGAAATCTCGAGTAAGTAAGGTCCAATCAAAATGCGAGAATAATTTGACTTATTATGTAAAAGTCAATAACGTATGATAACAAAGAAACCACGAATTAGATTCGAGTATCTATCAGTTATTTACTTGGACATGTCATGATTTAATTATGCGTTTTTCATTGATAGTGACTTTTTAACAACTTTAGGGTACTAAGGAGCCAGTAGAAGAGAATTTGATCTATTCGCCAAAAAGTAATAGGTTTTGTACTTTCTCCGCTACACGATTGGCTTAAAAAACTCACGCCACTTTTTCATCCAATCAGAAGTAAAACCAAGACCAATCGTGACTCGCACACTTTCCCACGCTTCCCGTCAGCTGCACGTATATACCTCGGGCTTCGTTTGGTTCACTGCATTCTCAGTCAACATGTCCTTTGTGATTGGCCAGAGTGATTACTTTGGTTTTGGTTTTACAACACTCAATTGAAAACCGCTCAAAGCTTTTACCAATTACTCATTGATGATATCAATGAGAGTGGTATAATCTCAGTTATCAGTAAAACGTTTCGGCTATTTCTTGGCTATAAGTTAAAGTTTCAGCTAACTCTCTCCGTTTGACTCATTTCCCTGCTAAGATGTATAAATGAGCTGCCAGTTAACGCGAGTCAATATTAACGATAATCCTGTCTACCGATTTTCACTTTACAATTGGTTACATAGTAAATGGTTTGAACCCAGGAGTATCAGTAGTTCGTATGGTGTGATCGTCCGTGTGCGAGCACCAGTCACCGACAACAGTTCTTTTCAGAATTACCCTTACCCGGACGATCACACTATACGAGCTAATAATTGATTAATTGATTGTTTTGGTGACTGTAGTACGTACCTGCCGAGTTTTGTCAAGTGACTTGTTCACATTGAAATAAGTTCTACCAACATGGCGTCTTGTTTTCATGACACTTCAATGACTCCAGGAAGAAAAAAAAGGATTTAAATTTTAATTCAGGCAGCACTTCCACACCGCAGACTAAGTTTATATTGCCCAAGATAATCAATCGAATCATGTTACCGGGTTACCGGTCTACTTAAACATAATACAGCGATCCGAGTTTGCGCAAGACAGTTCAACGGATCGCTTATTTCTTCTTTCTTTTCCCTTCTATTGTTTTTTTTTTGTTAGACGTTTCCGGTGGAACTTTCTGTGTTTCTAAGAGAACACAACAATGGAATATATCGTACAGATGTGTATTTCCTGAGCAAAACTTTTGCAGAGGTGAGTGAACATCAAAATCTACGTACAAAATAAATCACTGAAACGTTCAGAAATGGCCGAAAACAATTATAAATGCTAAAGGCTTTTGAACTCGTTTTAAGACATTTTTACGGGAACGTAGAGTTCATGAGTTCCAATCCCTGAAGCTGTACATATTTCAACTTTTCTTTGCAATTGCTTGATCTATGTTACTCGTGATTCCAAAAGAAATTCCCAACTACTCGTGCGTTGCATTCGTTGACTTCCCTTTTTTTTAATTGCAGGCGCCCCTGTTTCTTATTAATCCACTCATTTTGATTGCCATATCGTACTGGATGATTGGTGAGTAGATATTGCAGGCGTCTGTTACGTTATTGCCTCGGCAACTGGAGAGACTGATGCGATGTCCTGCAATATCAACAATATAACATGAAAGCAGCGACGATGACTTAACAACAAAAGTTTATATGATACTGTTGTTATTGTTTTTTTTTTTTTTGACAAAATCCACCTCCGTACTGAGATCAATTTATCATGCCCAATTTGGTAAATATACGAAGTTTGATAGGAATCCGCAGCAAACTCGTCCAAATATCGGATTACAAACTTGCCGAATTTTTCCAAAAGAAATGTATGTGCTCCCCCCCCCCCCCTGACATGCATTTCAAAAGTTTTAGACCCCATATTTTCACGAATATACAACGGTTTCTTATGAAACTTCGTATGCCTACTAAAGTTGGCGGAAAAATTGCGCAGTGAAGCTTATTTTTTACTTGAATGGAAAGAAAAGAAATGGCAAAAGAGTGACATCGGTTGAAAGGTCCACTGGGGCGGGGACATTTTTGGTCGCTTGGTGGCGACAGAGGAAATAGTAAGGACCAAAAAGCAGCCCCGTTAGTTGTTGTAAACCAGCTTAAACCCATGAGTCGCTTTATCGGAAAGGTACTAAAATCTAGTTCATACCCCCACCACCCAAAAAGGAATGATAAAGGTAATTATTTAGGTATCAAATATTTAGCACCGTTGTGCTAATTGGGGACACTGTAAATAAATAAACAAATGTTTCAAATAGAATATAAACTATTGAGAATCCCTACTGTTGGAAGGCTGACCAGTTGGCTATGGTCGAGGAGTTGAACTCGGGACTACCGAGAACAACTCCAGATAGCGGTAGGTTGAAGGATTTGAACCAGGGACCTCCAGATTTCAAATCCAGCGCCCTAAACCACTCGGGCAAGCCGCCTCCAGAAGATCAAAACCAATCGTGACTCGCTCACACACGTTTTCCCGCGCTTCGCGTCAACCACACGTATTTACTTCGCTTGTTAATCTGTTAACTGAATTTCCTGTGTCTTTTGTGATTGGCAAGAGTAATAACTTTAGTTTTGGTTTTATTGACAATTAATTGAAACCCGCTCTCTTGCAATTGTTACATACATAAACATGTGTATTCTTATTCTCAGGTTTGCGGAGCGATGTACTTAGGTTTTTCTTCGCGTATGCAATACTTGCCTTGGTCTCCATGGTTGCTGTTTCTTACGGTTTGTTCGCTATCCCTAGTTAAGGATTATTTCATTTTTTTTGGCTGTATTTGTTAAACAAACATAAGTCATAACGGCTTTAATCGTCTGAAAGGACAATCCGTCCGCAATACTCTGCCTCTAGTATTTCAGAGATTGCAGTCATAAAATTTGTAGATTTTTTCAGAGGTTTATTATTTGCACTATTTGTAATTCTTAGACTGATTTAATTCAATATTAGCAAGGACAATATAGGAATGGTCAAGATCTTGACTTGGTAACCTTAGTAAATTGCCCTAGAGAATAATCTGTAGTCTTCCCATGTTGTATTTCAGTAAAGACGTTTCTTAGGCCCCGTCACACTGCTACATGTACGGCGGAGAAATTTTAAAACGGCGTTTCTGCTCTGAAGGCGCAACAATCACCTGTCATTTTGGATTTGTGTGTGAGGAAAACGCGTGCATGCAAGGAAATCACGTGATTATCGTGACGTCATAGTTTTCGAAAAGCTTCCTTTTCAAAATGTTTTCCACGCACGCCAAAACCGAAAGCCGGCGTTTTCAAATTCGTCCGGTTTGAACAGCGTTTTGAGAAGCTTCGTTTTCGTGAGGGATTAGTATGGACGGTAGGCCTAACCGTAGAAATAAAGCTGCGTTTTCAAATTTCTCCGGCGTAGTGAGGACGAGGCTTTGTAGTGTCTTTGCTCTGTTTCGTACGTCGCGTGGTTCGGTAAATGAACTTGAAAAACGGTAGCATTATTCTCTTAACTATCATATTTTCTTTAATTTTTTCAGGGTATTTCGTGTCCACAGTTTCACCAAGCGTCGCGGCTGCATCTGCCTTAAGTGCGCCGTTAATTTTGCCGTTGTTACTCCTTGGTGGCTTCTACGTTAAAAACACGTAAGTTTTGGTCAGCACCCATCAGGGGCCATGTTGCGGGGACGTAAAGAGGGGACAAGCCGCTTCGTGTGTACCCATAGGATGCATGTTGCAGCCGGAACGTGAATACGCAAGCTGGTGTACACGAAGCAGATTGAGGAATTAAAATGAGTTGTAGGGGAACTGTTTGCAAGAGCAGTGTGCACGATGCGATTTTGAAAATTGAGTTCATTTTGTTCCTGCTTCATGACGCACGAATTTAACAAAATTTTGTCCCCGCAACATTGTTGTTGCTGTTGATGTTGTTGTTGTTTTATTTTGTTTTTTTGGAAAACCGCGCATGTCACACAAGGAAATCATTTGCTGTTACATGTCCCCGCTGCATGTCCCCTCTGCATGTTCACGTTGCATGTCCCCGCTGCATGTCCCCTCTGCATGTCCCATATGCATGTCCCCTTTGCATGTCTCCACTGCATGTCCCCACGGCATGTCCCCGCTGCATGTCCCCGCTGCATTTCCCCTCTGCATGTCCACGCTGCATGACCTTTTGCATGCCAAAACTGCATGGCCGCGAAACATGTCCCCTAGTGTGTACCGACCTTTACGAGATTTCGCCTAATCAATCCGTTTAGTTTCTTTAGGAAAATATTTGACAAATATATTCAAAGACATATGATAATTATTTTCACTGTCAACGGTTACGACGGTAAATTCTTTTCCTCTTCTCTTTGTTTCAGGACGGTACCAAACTGGCTTTCGTGGTTGCAGTACATATCTTGGTTTAACTACGGATTTGAAGCTATGAATATCAACCAGTGGGACGGTTATGGAAACATAAGTAAGTAATTCAAATATCCCGACTTTTGAACCTTTTAAACCTCGTGTGGATTTAAACATAACTAACCAATAGAGCGTTTTTACATGACGGCACGGGACCAAAACAATGAAACGGCGGCCATGTTGGTGTTCCAAACCAATCCTGTGGGAGTTGAACTCTTTTCTCATGTAAGCACTTTCTTTGGTTCCAATAGAAATGTTTCATGGTTACTGGCCAAGTTTGCTGAAAACGCTGTATTGGGCCATAACAATGGTAGACAAAATTTGGAAAAACAAAACAATCACGTGAGCAATGATGAAAATTTTTTCTTCAGGTAAATTTTTCTGAAACTTCTAATCGACTTCGGCTTTGTCTCGGATTTGACTACATTCAGCTTTTCGTTATCCAGACTTAAGTACTAAAAGAAATAAGGTAAAGTCTACATATGAACCAAGTGGCCCATCAGGAGGGCGCTGATCTCCGGTTTCTGCAGCATCTTGGGTTTCTACTTCCCCCTGTGATGCAAGTGCATTGCAGGATTTCCCTCCAGTATTTAATTCGTTGGTGTCCGTTTATACATCTGTTTACACGTACATGAGCCAATACGAACCATTTATACCCGGCATTTATACAATCCAAGTGGCCCACCAGGTCGCTGTTTACCTTTGGTTTCTGTAGCATTAATTAAGCGGCAAGGAGTATTTCCACTCCCCCCTGGATGAGATGCTAGTACATCGCAGGTGAGAGGCACTTTGAATGTAAAGTGTCTTGAGCAAGGACACAATACAGTGTCCCCAGCCACGGCTCGAGCCGCTAGTAAGTAAGTACAGGTAGTATTAGTAAGGCCCAGTTTGAGGTCTGTTAGTCTCGTTAAGTAACTGACATACACATCCTTTGTCGTTTTGCAGCTTGTTCTGATCAAAGCAATCGAGCAGATGCGAAATGTATTCATAATGGACAAGAGGCCCTTGATTACCTCGGCTTAAAAAAGGTCGGTAAAACATATGAATTCCTTAACAGAGCCCTCTAGCACTCTTGCCTCAATTACGTTTGAGCTTATCGGTCATGTGTTAGAATTAAATCGATATCGAAGCTTGCACTCCGTTCCAGTATCACCCATAACCTGGCAATCTTTGTTCTATAACCAGTTGTTGCAGACTAGTTGCAATTTCTATTTTTTGCGTCTAGGAATTCATGGGAAAAGATGTCATCTAGAGGTATTCCTTAATCAGTCACTGATTATCATTACCCAAAGATACCTCCCATGTGCCTTTTTAATGCAACACTTTTCACAAATCAGGGTCATTATAAAACAGGGGCGAATAACAAGTAGGGGGGTGGGAAGATACAGGATTTTAGAAAAGGGGGTTCGAAATACGGACCGCCGTTCCCCTGTAGTGGGGTTGGGGACATCCTCCACCGCAAAATATCTCACATTGAGGTCCTCGGAAATAGGATTTCCGGCATTCTGAGGCCAAGTCAGGATGTAATGATGTCTCATTTTTTTTTAAACTTAGGGGGTTCGACCGAACCCCCCAAACCNTTTTTTTTTTTGGCAGGAAAACATAATGCTTGATATCTCCATACTATTGGCTTTGACTGTTGGATTCCGTATCTTATCGTTCCTGTTTCTGTTGAGGAAAGCTTACAAACGACCGTGATAAATCACAAACAACACCGAGGATTATGAAGCCAGTAATCCTTAAAACTATTTTTTTTTCGCTTTTGATCACGGTTGCAACAACAAGCAACGTCAGCAAAAACAAGAAAGAACAGCAGCAGCAGAAGCAGTATTAACAACAATAACTGAAATAAAAACGGTACCTATAAAAAAAAAACAACAACAAAAAAAGCTCAAAGTTCAAGACTCCAAACAAAACAACTAAACTTTATTACAGTTGCTATAGCTGTAAAGATCCTCAAACGAGCCAGCAATGATGAAAGTGCTAATTTATCATGATTGTGACCTCATTTGAAACGAAAAAACCCATGTGTAATTTAATGATTTGGGAAATACATAATATTTTATGAAGAATGTTGTTACATATGTTATTTTATTTTAATCTATTTTAAGAAAGAACACTAAATAACTGAGAAATCTTTAAATGCGGCTTCAAAGAGATAACATACGATGCAGTCACTCAGTAGCATTCTCTTTCTAACTTAACGCTAAAGCAATCAAAGGAAACTATGAAGAAGTCGTGGATACATTGCTTACAAAATGAAGAGGTCTCCTTCGATCAGCTTCCATATGCTTGACCGGGTTTTGAAGATAGCAAGGTCATAAAAAAGTCAAAATGATTCTGCCCTGGAAGCACAATATATGCAGGATTTTGTTTGTTACAATTTAAACGTTTGTCCCACTCCGAAAACTTAAAACTTACCGTAGATAATTTTGTTTATATCCAGTTTTGTAACTGCGTTTCTTATTGTTTGCCACAAGAAAGTTTTGGCTGGATTCTATTGACTTAAAAGTTGTCCTACTTATGTTTCCAATTGTTTTGTTTTGTTTTGTTATGATGTATTCATAATTTTGCTGATATAGTGCCAGGCCGAGAGTGCTAGGAGGTTCGCTCATAGTTTCACTCATCAGATTCACTCACAAATTAACGCTCACTATCTAGCCAGCTGGAAGTTATAAACTCCCTTTGAGCTTAGAGGATTGACGAGCCAGTATCTCAGGAAGTTTAAAGACTTTTCGCAGTCAATATCTACACACAAAGTTAACCCTTAACTTGGGTAGGGACTTAACCAAGTTTGATACAAGGAGGCTCTGCCCCAAGGTCCAAATCTTTTCCCTTTTGTATAGTGTAAACATGGCTTGTGTTTGACATAATTGGACAGTAAATCTCTCTCGCAAAAAGTAGATCTACGCAGTCTCTTGGATGCTAATTTGTCTAATATCCTTCACTTAAATTTTAGGGCATATATACTCGATCTGAGTGATTGATACATTTCATATTATGCCCCATAACAATAGTCGTTTCTACGCTTCACGTACCCACGACAAAAAGACGGGCGAACGCGCGGCTAAGGTAGCCTGCAAACACGCTCCCGGCGAGCCCGAACGAAGCGTCCCGCCCCGATCGCGTCGCTCTCCGAATTCTTGAGTCTCGCGCTCGTCGAATTATTTTCCGTCCTCGCTGGAAGCCTGCTCACAGGCTCGGGTTATGGGTACTCCGCGTAACCCTTGATTCTTCCCTTCCCCCTCGTACGAAAGTGGGCTCTTTTAACCAACACCCAAAAGTCTCAGGAAAGCCGATGAAGTTACGGCTGGAAGCCTCATGGCAGGTAACTTTACCTGCCTTTCTTCTCTCAACACGTTTGCAGACCGCTGGCTACCCAGCATTTTGACAAGGCTCAATTAATACACGGCTTCCTGCCAACCTCTCAAGGGACTGAGAGACTACTTATACTACTTAATTTTATTTTGCTGTTACAAAGAGTGAAGTCCAGATGATTAATCAAGAAATAGTTTCGTTAACAAGATTCCTTCATGTCAACGTAAACGTCTAAAACCCATCGGCGTTCTCCTGGAGGTCTGGTAAAAAGGGTCAAGCCTATTCATTAATAATATGAGATAGGTCGTAACATTCTTGTGGCAAACCTTTGCTAGAGGTTATTTAGGAAGATTAGCTGGTTTGCTCAATAAATTTTCAGTTTTTCGGTAGGCGTAAGTTAGGTTGACATATCCAGAGATTTAAAGAGTAGGAGTTAGTTGGTGTAGAGTCGGCATTAAATCAAAGTCTCTCAGGTCGATGTCAATAAATGAAGCCTCTTTTGTTTCTGTCATCCCAATCCCATGATTTGCGTGTGCATACCTGCCTACCTCCTCCTCCTCCTTCTCCTCCTCCACCACCACCACCAATTATTAGCATCGCGTCACTTCAGTGCAATATAGCGTATTGCACCCCGTTACATTTTGAGCCTAAATATTCCATGTCCCATTAATTCCAATTGTATAACTTGACGATCTTCTTACTCGATATCCCGTTTTATCTGATCTAGATATCCTCTATAATTTTTCCCCCAAATATCCCGAATCCCGTTATTTTTTACCTAAGTTTCCCGTATCGCGAAAACCCCAAATAGGGCTTAGAGGCTGGCTTAACCTATAGAATATCCAGACTAGAATGGCGAGTAAGTTGTATTGTGAACAGTATATTAACTTCTTATAACTTGTCTATTTACAGCCAATGTAACGAGTACTACAAATTATTAAATTATTCTTTATTTTACATCCAACGCCCTATTTATTGATTACGTTCTTGATAAAGTTTTTGATAGATAGATAAATGATCCTTGCTCAGGTTTATTATTACGCTCATTGATAGGTTTTTCTGTTTACGAAATAGCAGGTTCTTTTTTACTAATTGAAAATATATGATTATGTGAAAATGCAAATCTATGGAATGGAGTCAATTTGCAACGGTAAATGTCTCTATACTCGCAAGACGAGTTTTTACAAAGTCGTTCACCTTCGGGCAAAGAAACCAGCCGAGACTAGCTTCTGCAATGACCGATCGTCTATATCCCAGGGGGGGGGGGGAAGTCCCATATAAAAAGGACGGGGCTGCTCGGCGGAAATTTTGGAAGAGCCCCTAAGAGGTACCAAGATCCTGCCTTGTGGGCGTGGCTGGAAAATGTGTTCACCCCTAAGAGGTACCAATTCTAAAACAACAATTAATCTCCTGTCATTGTTTTTTCGGTTCAATACCCTAAACGTTACTAGAGAAGCTCCCGAGTAGACGTTTTGAAGCTGAACACCCTAAGAGGTAGAAAAAGCGCCTTCGTAACCCCTAAAAGGTACGACGAGCACCCCCGTCCTCTATATAAGGGAGTTCCCCCGGGAGATGAATCCAAGGGAAAAAACTTATTTTTAAGGCCTTTTGTAACTAAACATTAAGAGAACCAGGAAAGCTATGATGCGAAATCCGACCGTCAAAGCCAGCAGACTGTAAATATCAATCAGTAGATTGCCCTGTCAAAAAAAGAAAACAATTTTATCAAAATATTAATCTTAGTCTTTTTACGTCCCTGATTTAAGGTGGCTTAATGCAGCTTTTCTGAGACTCAGTATCGCGCGCTACGATTGCCTGCCAGACATTAGCAATATATAGATTTAGGCCAGCCTAAAAGCGTAGCTCCTGGGCCGGGTTGCTCAGAGCCCGATTAAGCTAACCCAGGAAAAGGTAGAATTTTGATTATAATTCTGTTAACTTTCAATCCTGGGTTAGCGTTAACCGGCTTCCGAACAATCCTGCCCTGTTTTTGACAAGTTAACCTGACATGAACCCGCGATCCAATCGAAAATTAGCACTTGGTCAGCGGTCAACTTCAAAAAACACGTGACCTCGATGAGCCGTGAACTTGGGCCCACGATATGGTCACGTCATACTTGTCAGCGGATACCTTGTTTTGACAGGTGTCAATTGATCATAACATGGATGACCAATATTAAAGAAGTACACGGTAAACCAAGGCTGCATGCCTCTGTCAACCTATTATTTGGAGTATGGCCACAATGTTGCACGACTCCATCGATTTGCCGTCGCTGCCATCGTGCGTACGCGCCCACGGGCAATACCGCTAGCCATGATAACCATGAGAAACTCAACTCGTGGGTTTCCTCTTCTTTCCTATATGGTATGGGGCTCCGCTTGGCGGCCCATCGGGCCGCCGAAGCTCCGCTATTAATTGCGCGTGCAAAAATGACGCAAGTAACCTAAGAAGAAACGAAAACCACTCCAGCACTTGAAAGGCCATAAATTACTTCTGTATACGTGGCAATAGTTTCAACCTCCGTTCGAACATGTGTTTAAGCCTAGGGCCAAAAAATATGACAACAAAAAGCTCTATAACGAACCGGTAAAAGAGCTTTAAGTTACTCTTACTTTCTCGCACACGATACATGGCGTCACATAAAGGGCATGCGCAATTCAATTCTCGTCCAAGGTTGTAAAAGCTAGTTTTCGATCGAGGATTGCTCGAAAACCTACCGTACAACCCATGATGAAATTTTTCACAGTTGATTTGTAGGGGTGAATCACTCTTAGAGCCAAAATTAAAAAAAAAAATTCTGTAACAGATTTTGAGCTATTTTTTATATCACATTTTCTTAGTTTGCAAAATATCTGTCTTACAGATTTTTGTTTTACTTTGCATGAACGTTAAATCAGCGCCAATTTCTTAATCCTGAAATTTTGAGGTAGGGTTATACGGGTAGATTATTTAACCTGCTAGTACCCAGTCTCTCCTTGGGTACTCGGTCATTCATTTTGGCCATTTGTTGACGTTTAATTGTTCAAGTTTCACATAGAATGGTAAAAGACTTAGCAAACAGTAAATAGAAAAAGAAAAAACATCTTGGAACATTTTTGAAAAGAGTTAGAAATTGGGCTGTTATAATCTATAAAAAGTGTAGTAAGCCACCTTAAATATTTCATAATGAGATGAAGTTCCAACGAGTGGAAGACACTGAACTTCGCGTTTGGCTATTCTGTGAAAGTTATGTCGAGATGTATTTCCATTTTATGTTACTACTACGATGTGGGACTTGGAGCTGTGGATGAGAGTCTGGTGTGTAACCTTCAAATAAACGCTATTGTTATGTATGTTAGCCTAGGTAGCCTTGGTACTAGGGTGCCCTCTAACCTCGTTATGATGTATATAAGGAAGAATGACTTTCAGAATAAACGGTTATTTTGTTCTTGTGATACGTTGCTGTCTACTTGTTGAAACAGCTATAAAAGGAGCTCAGTCACGACCGTATTTTGAGTTATTTTGGCCGCGTACAGAATGACACTGTACCTTGAATTAAGGGAAACCTGACAATAGTAGTTCACTAAGATGGAAAAACACCACAGAGATAATAATAAACAATAAAGGAACAAGGATGGTTAAGGCTGAAAATAACTGAAACGGTTTACAAACGACGAACTTGAACCACGACATGACGAAGCTCCTTTAAGGACTACTTTTACAACGTACTACTCACTTTGCTTGATTCAAGAATTCAAGATGGCTTTACCACTAAAGTTTGTGGATAAATTCCTAGTATATAATTAGCCTAAGAAAGAGGTAATGTACGAATCTGAGATAAGCCAGTTATCAGAGCAGGATTTTGAGTCAGGATGTTGAGGTATAGTCATGCAATTTTTACATAATTCTACTGAAGAATTATGTAAACTGATTTAAATACGCGTTTCCTTCTTGGAAGTCAAACATCTCTCAGGGTCAGCCATGGGAAGTCAGAATGGCATACCAATATAACTGAAAATAAAAGCACATCAAACCCAAACTTTCCCCTCAAATTCGTGTGAAATACCAAAATATGGAAAAAACAAGGTATACTTTATACCCATAAAAGGCCCAATTCTGGCGTCAAAATACCGTATACACGATGTACAATCCCCCTGTGTACGGCATACCCAAGAACCCTGGCCGACCCTGATCTCTACAGTCGTGTCACTGTTCACCAACCTCTTTTAAGCCGCGGTTCTCGATAGCCTCCTGTCCATCATAAATGCACGGTGCACTGGAATTGGTACAAGCTGAAAACAAAAGAGAAGAAATTATAAACTACGTGCAAATCTTAATAAGCACTTAATGACCGGCCCCAAGGAAAACAAAGGAGACAAAACTCACTGTTTCCCGTGGGGCCGGTCACTAAGTGTTTTGTTATACTCCCAACTTAAAAATAGAAAAAAGAAATGCGAAAAAACTGCGAAAAGCGCGATTTCAAGGTGTACGACCTGATCACGAGCAAGTCGAAGGTTCAAATTGTTGTTTCCCTAGGGAGTTAGTGAGTTTTGTTCGTCCCCGGGAGTTGGTGAGTTTTGACCCATGGCACGTGACACGTTCTCTTCCAATCGGAAAACGTACTTGAGTTGGAAGGTATAACAACATTATTTGATTCCTGCCACAAAACAGTCGTTTACATGGACCTCGTTCCTACTGGTTATTTTCATTTTCTTTTAGACTTGCTTTTTTTTCAATACTTTGCAGTAGAAAAAGAAAATCGCCGATGACGGTGAAGTAAATCATTTCCCAGTGCGCAGACGGCCTCCAAATGTATACGCAACTTTATCATAAGTGTCAAATAAACAGCAAAATTGCAACCAAAATATTGCCACCGACCGGGCAGTAAAATCTCTGTAGTTTTTATTCTTCAGATTTTTTTGTATTCCTGCAGTGCCCCCTGTTCTCCAAGCTCCTGTGACTTTTTGTTTGCCTTAATAAAAAGCCCTTAACAGCCCCAAGTTTGGATTTGTTTTCGTCATCTTCTGAAACTGGAAAAAATCTCGCCGAAGAGGCCAGTTCACTAAAAACACTGGGAAGCGAGTTCCCACGTCAAAGTTCGTGCAATCTGATTGGTCTGAGCCAAACATAAAAATATATTTGATTGGACAATTCAGACCATGAAGTCATATGATAACATTTCACTGATGTAAAATGATATCATACCACTTCAAGGCTATCATTTTTAGTCACGACATTATTAGTCACAGTTATATCCACATATAATATGTAACGAAGCAGTGTATACAATGAAGAACTAATGACTAAAAGATTCAAATTTCACCAGAAATAATGGCAATTCGGATTTCTTGAAATTCTGTCACCAAATCAAACTTTATGACTTGTAGTCCACGTCCATCTGCAATCGTGCCAATCATGCTGTTCTTTTAAAAAAAATAGCCTCAGTCAACCTGGAGGGTGGGGGGAGGGAGGGGTGGAGTTTATTCACTCCGTAGTGATCAAACTTTCATGGTGTGTATAGGGCCTAAACTTGTTTACTTTAGTGATAAACACGTAATTATCGTGACATCGCGTAACTCCAAAACGACGCACGTCACACAATTCAAAATGTTCGCAATGTTGGATTTCAAGAACGTTCCAGAAAAAAGTCAGGACAACTCCAAAATTGGTTGACAAAATCCGAAAAAAAAGTATTAGGATACTGGAAATGTAAAGACTTTGGGATAAAATCGTCATGAAATCGAAATTCACACCAAAACTTGTAAAACAACATATTTTGGTAAAGCTTCCTGTAAAAATATGTTTGCCATAGAAATGTCAATTTACGTGACCAAACATTTGACACACCAAAATGCTCCCTGATACATTTTAAGAAAAGTCATAAGATTTGACCCTTATAGCTTGATTATTGTNATGGTGTGTATAGCGTCCAAACTTGTTTACTTTAGTGATAAACACGTAATTATCGTGACATCGCGTAACGCCAGAACGACACACGTCACACAATTCAAAATGTCCTCAATGTTGGATTTCAAGAATGTTCCAGAAAAAAGTCAGGACAACTCCAAAATTGGTTGACAAAATCCGAAAAAAGTATCAGAATACTAGAAATGTAAAGACTTTGGGATAAAATCGTTATGAAATCGAAATTCACACCAAAACTTGTAAAAGACCATATTTTGGTAAAGCCTCCTCTAAAAATATGTTTGCCATAGAAATGTCAATTTACGTGACCAAACATTTGACACACCAAAATGCTCCCTGATACATTTTAGGAAAAGTCATAAGATTTGACCCTTATAGCTTGATTATTGTTCAATCACAAAAAAAAAAAATGAAATGAGCGAAGGTAATTCGTTCCCCCATCCCAGCCCAAATAGGATTAATTTTTCTTCTCGAAGTTCTTAAAAAATCAAAGAACTTTCTAAATTTTCTTGTTACTGATGCTGCATGATATGATCTTCATTTAAACATATTTCACCGATCAAGACTATCGTCTTTACTCATATTGATACCAAAAATCAACAACAAAAACAAACAACATACTTATATTGCCATAGTTGTCCCATTGATTAATAACCAACGCTTCAAATCCGTAGTTAAACCAAGACAGGTATCTCAACCACGTCAACCACGCTGGAATACTCCTGAACGAAATAAAAAAAAATATAGGATAAAAAAGCGCTCAATCTGACAGACCTCGCAATTAAGTAAGTAAGGACGTTCGCGCGAAAATTTTCCTGTCGATGGAATTTTTTTGAGTTTTTACTGCTTTCAGATAATGAGTTACTTGTGTCAGAAATGCAAAAAAAGAAAAAAATGGGCGTCACCAACTTTGTTTCAGAGATAAAGCGTGAGGGAAACAACCCTGATTTTGAAAAATTCGTGCACGTAATTCAGCATGGTCTACAGGGGTTTATAGTTAAAAATAGCGAAGGTGAGTCAACGGAGGCAAACGATCTTAGTCATATTTTGTAGAAGTGGGTCTCTTGCGTAAATAATTCCAAACGTTAAACAACGTTTTCACCAAACTTAACTCTTCAAGAGACATTTAAAACCGTCGCAGAGATAAACGAAGAGCTGAAAAGAACGGAATTCGATGGTGTATTTTGCAAAAAATTCAAACTTCTAGTCGTTAGATTTTCTTCATTTTTTTCGCTTAACATAGACCATCGGTAGAGAAAATGATCCATCAAAAGAGAATTAGGGTTCACTGAACGTTCAAGATCGTTAAATCCAGGCAAGGCTATAGCAATGGCCATCTGCCGTATCACTGTTCATTTTATTACTTAGCGCGCGCTCTCGTACATGACGCGGCGTGTGAATTTGCGTGCGCAGTCCTTAAGGTGGCCCCCTATAGTTTTACGATCGCATGAGCGCTGAAGACGAAAGCTCAAGCAATCTGCGTGCGCTCGAAGGAAAACATCAGTGTTTTTCGATATTTTATGACGTCAGCATGAGCACAAAAAGCAAAATTGACAGTGAATTGTCTCGCGTTCCCTTAGGTGAAATTCGGTAAAATTTGGCAGATTGGTAGTAAATATATTCCTTTATTCGGAGTTCGTTTTTCAGGGAAGTCTATAAGACCAGTTTTTTTGTAGCGGCAAAGACAAACTTTCAAAAATCGAAAAAATTTTGGAAGATTTCACCGAAGGAAATTCAGGAAAATCACAAGTAAAGCTATAAAAAAGGTAAAAAACACATTGTTTGGGCATTTATAATTCAAGACTAAAACCCAAAATTTTGACATAGATGATAGTAAAACACTACCTAATCTTGCTTATTACATGTAATACGTTTTAGAGGACTGGGTGTAAAAACGAATGCGAAAACAGCGTTCAAAACATAACACTTGCGCGCGCAACGCCATAAATGATTACCCTATGGAGCCACCTTACGTGGCAGATTTTTAACCATGTTCCCGGCCTGAATATGCGCAGTTCGGTTTTTATTTTGTATCAAGGAAGGAGAAACCCTCCCGAGAAGGACCCGCAACGGAACCTCCTTCTTCTTCCATTCGAAAACAAAAGATACAAAAAACTAAACCTGTGGGCTCAGCTTTCACAGAAACATTGGTAAAGCTTCCCTCTATCATTAGCCCCCGCGTTGAAGAACGTTTGTATTTGATATCTCTGGAGCATATGCACGCATCAAGAGGAGATCAATGCAAGAGTTACCTTGATCTTCTCATCCACGCATAAATTATTCCAATTTGAAAACTGGAACCTTTGAATTAGTCATGTTTGGAGAGTTATAATTGTATAGGACTTAAATTTCAAGGATATAACGTCACTTTCATATAAAAACGCAAACATTTTTGAACTGTAAAATTTCTTTCGTAGTAAGCCCTCCACTGCTCCGGAAAATGAGCCCATGGCTTTATATTTAATCATATTTTGTATCTAATTTTATATATTTATTTTTTGGACTTAACTCTCACGGAAAGATAGGTTAAGTCTCTTCTGATTATGAGCACTGCATTGAAGAACCTTTACATTTGATTTCGCTATTAAGGCATTGTCCTTGTAAACATGATGCACATTTTAAACCTTTGCCCCCCCCCCTCCCCCCCCTCACCACCACACCACGCCCTTTTAAAGCTCTTGCTAGCACTCGCAGCAACTCACGTGTTCTGGATAAAAAATCCGCCAATAATAAGCAGAGGCTGAATCATTGGCGCAGAGAGCGCGATCGAGACTGACTCCGTTGGTGACATCGCTGATATGACGTAAGCTGAAATAAAGAACACGATAATGGATTTGTTTACTGGCAGTAAGTGGTTTCTCTCAATTTTTCAAGAGTGACAAATTTAAAAAGTTTACTGCGTCATTTAATAAGAATAAGAATAAGAATACGAATAGGAATAATAGTAATAATAATAATAATAACTTTATTTAAGAGTCAAATGTATTTAGCACTATTAAATGCGCTAATTGGGGAATAAACAAATATTTCAAATATAACATTAACTATTGAGAATCCCAACTGGTTGGAGGCTGACCAGTTGGCTATTTACACAACGCGATCGAGGAGTTGAACTCGGGGCTACCGAGAACAAATCCAGATGGCCCTAAACCACTCGGCCACGCCGCCTCTCCATCATTTCTTGCAATGATTCACCGACTAATCCTTTATCCAGTCGTAAGTCTGGTTTGGTCTAAAGTGACTATCGATTCCGAGCAGGGACAGTGGAATGTTGATGGAATAACTTGGTGTGCGTGTGTGTGTGTGTGTGTGTGTGTGTGTGTGTGTGTGTGTGTGTGTGTGTGTGTGTGTGTGTGTGTGNCGAGAAA